GGTAACTCCGTGGCTAGTGCACAATATTTCATGTACAGTTGCTTAATTAATTTGACAACGTGGGGTTATAAAGGGGGGATTGGACGGAGAATATAGCATGTATATAAACGGGCACAGCGCTTTCTTGTTAACGTGATATCGTGAGTGTTATGTACATGGGCCAGAGGGCCAATACTTGACTTGAAGGCGGCCCCCGGACGACTTTACGGGGACCCGATTATATATATCAAAATATTCTTCCCCAATTCAAATAACATGTAAAACAAGAATAATATGCTTGTGTGCTTCTGGTGGACCTTGTTAGTTTTGTTGAGATGTAGATCAATGTTGTTCTTTTCATACATAGATCGAGATTAATATTTAATTATCTGCAATTTGAGACATATGGTATATACATGAGGGTTTCCTTGTTTGGATTATTTCGCTCGACGTACTACGTCTCGAGTTGTAGATTTTTAGGTAATAATTCCATCTATTGTATGCCCCTGTTACTTGGATGATTAGTCTGATCGCTAGCTGCATGACCTCGTTACCTGATCGATTTTGGATGCTTTATGTTATCATGATTTAGTAGTATTTTCATGTTGATTTGTGGATTTCAGTTGTACGTTCTTTTGTTGTTTCTGTTATCGTTTCGTTTTTCGCATTGGATTTCCGTTCGTTCTATTTTCTTTGTGGGGTCGGGTCTTGCCGTGCGCCATGCACCTGACGTTCACCTGTTTTCTCTGGTGTACGTCAGACTTAGAGGAAGAGCAGGTTCAACAGGAGCCAGAAGATTCTCAGCAGGAGTGCCTTGTAGATGAAGCAGAAGAAGCCGAAGTTTAGTTATTCCCTCCAGTTGTTCGATGGTCTTACCTTATTTTGTAGTTCTTTCTTTTTCATTGATCGACGTATTTTGTATCTCCTCAGCATTCATTTGTTCAGTTTTGTATAAGGGTACGTTTGACCCATATTTTATGTCTGGGATGATTTACCATTGATGATATGTCTATTTTTATTCTGGGTTGTCTTTATATTCTCGCTATGTGTGATCGGGGACCTGTGACTTCGCATTGTTTTTATTTCCAGACGCTTAGCGTATTAGATTGAGAAGACGATGTCTAGCACTTATCTCTCCTCAGTCTAATACGTCGCGGGCTTGCTCGCGTCCCGATTCCCCGGTATTTTGGGAAGCGGGGCGTGACAAACTCCCTTAAGTCATAGGGAGTATCAACTTGGCTATTGATGCGTCAGTCGCTCTTCTTAAAAGAAACTTTGTAGGGCTAGCTTTTGGCATTAGAGCATCGCCTGTGATGATGTTGCTTTGACCTACAACTGATGTGATCATTATGGCTTCATCATAAGTCTAAACTTGTGGTTGAGACAGAGAATCTCCATGGGCGATAATTTTCCCTTTTGAGAACTTCATTGGAGGGTAACCCCCCAGTTTTGTCTTCTTTTAAGAAAGTATGATGAGTATTGCAAGACACTTTAAAGCGAACCTCTACAGGGCTTGTGGGATAATGTCTGAATTTGAAAGACGTTTGAACATCATGACCTTCACTCATGGCGAGGGTTACTAAGACTTCTCTTGGGGTGAAGCTCAATTTCCCTTCAGCGACATTGAGACTACCTTTGGTAAGATTTGCTTCGCTTTGGGTGAAGCTATGGTTGTATTTGCTCTGGGTAAAGTTCGCTCTGCTTTCAGTGAAGCTAGGGCTATCTTCGGTAAGGCTCGCCTTGCTATGGGCAAAGCTCAGGTCTAAACCCGGTCTTGAACTTCAATGTATCTATAGTAGCTTTTGGTCATGGCAGTAACTATTTTCTCAGAGGATATAATTTTGCTTATTCAAATTCGATGACCAATGATTCAGTAATAGAACTTAAGGCCTTAGTGTTCTCGACATAATTTTCTCTTTGATTGAGAAGAGAGTCCCCAACAGTGTTGCCATTCTATTTCTGGTCTTAAAATTAATGGCAAAAAAGAAGAGTTACAATCTCAATAAATAAGAAACATGAAAAATTTATAGAGATCTGGGTTCTTTTTTATGTGTTGATGGAAGGTCGTTCTTGTCTTCCGTTGAAGGACTAAGCAGTAGATAGTGGGTCTTTTGCTAATTGACTATCTTTGAGTAAAGTAGATGATTATTTACGTTGAAGAGATATTAACAGATCTTTTTTCACAAGGATTTTTGATTATGCTAGATGACTAGTTAAAGGAAATACATGTTTCCTCACTAGGATCATTGATTGAACTAAATGATTAGTTAATGAGAATGATCTATGAAGATAAATGAGAATAGAGTAGGGACGGGCTCTTCGTCGATGTCGCTCACCAAGCTTCAGCTGGTAGCCTCTGAATCTCTCTCTCTCTCTCTCAAGTGATAAAAAGCCTAGCCAGGAAGAACATCAGCTCCAAGATTTTTCCTTGCCCCCCTTTTTCTTTATGTTGATCATGCATATTTATAGAAAATTGAGAGCACTCCAAGATTTTTCCTTGCCCCCCTTTTTCTTTATGTTGATCATGCATATTTATAGAAAATTGAGAGCATTAAATGAGTGAGTTAGTGGTTCTTAACTCCCATTAAATAGGTGAGTTAGCGATCATTAACTTTCTTTAAATGGGCGAGTTAAGTGGACAAACTGATTCCTTAAAAGTAGCTTCTAAAAATGACTATGGGCGAAGTTCGCCATTAACAACTATAGATGAAGTTTGCCAATAATGACCATGGGCGAAGTTCATTGAGAAAACTTCGCCAAAATATGGGTATCCCACTTTCTTTAAAATGTGGGTGATGTGGCCTACGTGAGCTATAAGGCGAAGCTCGCTTCAACGAGCTTTGTTGGTACTTGGGCAAACTTCGCTCTGAGCTTGTGTTTATGCTATTTTGATCTGATTTAGTGTTTGATCTACGTGCATCTACTTTTTTATGCTCAAGTATTAAACTTGTGCCAAGTATCGATCCAGGTCTCTCGTGACTTGAGAGATTAACTATAGATGGAGTGGCCTATATATTTTGACCGTCCACATTTTTCAAAAGGAGTAGTTTGGCCATTTCACCACTAACACGTAATAATGTCAGTGGGTAGTTTCAAAGACTTCAAAGTATAGCATGTTTAAGCGAGACAACCCAAAGTTCAAGAAGGTTAAGAGGAGTAAATAAAGTTGAGGGAGCTATGAGCAAAATACCCTATGGTCAGGGGCTTATGTGAAATTTGCCCTCTTTTAAACATTTTTATATCTCAAATTCTCTTTTTGATATTCTAACGTGCAAAAAAGTTTGGGTTTTTTTTATATTAGTCCCTTAAATATTTCATAGATTGAAATTAGTCCTTCAAATCATTGTAAATGCGGGTAGGAATTAGGGGTGCATTCGGTCCGGATACGGATCAGATATGATGCTTATCATATCCATATCCGCTTACCCATCTCGGATACGGATACAGATATAGATATATCTTGGTAAGAAAAATTTGTAACCATATCCGCTAAAATCAGATACGGTTATGGATATACATGCGGATATATAAGCGGATATGCATGCAGATACAAAGCATATATGAGAAAACTAGATAGTATTGAGAAAAACATAGTTCATGTGATATAAAAGAGTTTGTTAATATGTCCATTATAATTAAAAAGTTAAGATTAAACATCTTAATCATCAAAATTAACCACAAATCCATAATCTAAGAATCGAAACTATCGTAAGAGTATGACTAATATGTATTCGGATATTTCGGATACGGATAATATCCATAACCATATCCTATCGGTTATAGATTTGAGTAACCATATTCGTATCCTAACGGATACGGTTACGGATATTTCATCGGATACGGATACGGTTTAGCACCCCTAGTAGGCACTTCACTGCATCCACCCATCTAAAAGAAGCGGGTTTAAACCATTAGCTGCTCATCAACAGTCTTGGGTTTAAACAATTAGCTGACTACCAACAGTCTCTCTCAACTCTCATCACTCATCAGCTTCTATTCCCTTAAATCGCATTATATTTCCTCTCTTAGTTTTTATTTCAATTGCATAATATATAAATATTCATCTTATAGTTTATCTTTAAATGTTTTTCTATCAAAAAGTTAACCATATTAGCATTTTCGAAGAATTCTTAATTGGATTCATTTGCCATTAGAGATCTTTGTATATTATTTCTATTGGAGTTCATTGTCATTATTTTTATATTCTAATTAAAGCATTCTTAATATTCAGAAATATTCTACGTGCAACGCACTTGCACTATATTAGTTTTTTTTTAAAACCTATATAACTTCATATGTTATCATACGCCCAAAATATGAAGTTTATTTTACATTTAAATGCAAAATATATAATATAATATAATATAATAGAGTTTGTAGCTGTACACTCTAAATAATGTAGACATATATTTCGCAGTATGTAGCTATACACAATATAGTACTAGTTGTGCTCTCTACCTTATTGTAGATATACACCCTATTATATGTAGCTATACACTTTGTATTATGTATTTGGATTTAAAGTAAGAAAAATCTTTATTTTAGGTGTAAAATGCATATCGAATGACGTGGGTTTTAGACAAATAAGGGTAAACTTTGATTTTACAAACAAAAGTCCTTTAAATTTAACCCTTCACCTGGTCGAATTAGAATATAGCTAAGTGGGTTCCATGTGCTCCATGTCTGTTGTTGCGGGTTGAATTTGTAGGAAGAAATTTCCTAACTTAGTTTTTATTCTCTTGTAGGGGCTTGATTGAAAATCGAGACAACACTGGGGAAAATAACCCAAGGGAAGTGATGTCACGTGACATCTTTTTTTATCAATAGATTCGCCACTTATTGGGGTGATCTACACCATTCAAGAGTGGTTAGAGGGTTAATTTAGGAACTAAGAAATTTTTTTTTTAAAAATAAAATAAATCCCAGCTCAAACACCGGCCCAGCCCAACCCAATTAGGATACAAAATTTTAAAATGTTTTTTTTGGAAAAGAAACCCGACCCGCTAGCATATTAACCCTATCATTTTCCTCAAATCAAATCCGTCTTCGCGCCGCCGCCACCACCACCTCAACCTCCTCCTCCTCTTCTCTTCGAGGTAAATTTTTCTAAATTTTCACTTTTTTTCACTGTTCTTTATGCATGGTTGATTATGGATGGTTGTTTAGGGATCTAATGTTGCTATTTATGCCTTTTTGCATTTTTCTATGAATTTCAAATAGTTTAAAAAATAGAGAAACGTCTAGGCGCTAACATTGATTTCTACTGAGCATAGACAAGGGAAAAGAAATAAAGAAAAGATGTGGAAGAGGGGAAAACATAAAATGATTTGATTCACTGAATAATTAAAGGATATATTTTAGAAAACCCATATAATGTCCGCTGAAAGTGTGAAACTGCACGCTTTCAGGACTTTAGGTGTTTGTTCAATGTGTTTAAATGCCCAAAGTTTTCTTTTAACAAAAACACCCCAACTTTCAAAAAAAGTTAACCCTGTCTCTAATTAATATAAACGAAGGAATCATATTCTAACTCTTGCTTCTTATCTTGTATCTTAGGACATAAACCTCCTTTCCACTTATTAACAATAATTTTTTTCATGAATCTTTTAAAATAAGTCTTCTTATCACGTCGAGCTCTGTGATGATAGGTTTTTGCGCGGCTTCTATGATCGTTTCCATAACCACAAAACAATATCATGTTAAATAAATAAAAGGGTTAATTGCGAATTGACCCTTATAGCATCGCCTAATTATGAATATACCAATTGTTGTCTACTTGTTAACTTTTTCGACTTTTTTAAAAGTAAAAATGATTAGCAATTTGGGGTCTAGAATCTACCCTCACCAGAAGCATAATGAGTCAATTCGCCTTCTAATTTTTTTTTGATTCTTTTAAGAGTAAAAGAAAACTCACCTGGGGGGTGGTGGTATCCGCACAGATAGAACTACAAATGGTCTATCCGCAATTGGATGATACTATACGGAGTCTATCTGCACTTAGCCCTAAATAAAATAAAATACTATTGTCACACCATCTTCACTTTTCTAGTTTCAACAACAATTTTTTTTAAACAAACATTCTCTTTCACTTGTATTAAAAAGGGCTAAATATTATAAACACCCCCTTAACTTTGGACGATAATCAAATAGCCCCGCTTAACTTTAAAAATATCAAGAACTGACCTTGAAATTAGTGGCTATCAGAGAACTCCCTCTAACTTTAAGAATTTTTCCTGAAATCCCCCTAAAAGCGTGAATCCTAATTTTCATTGGCAAAAGTATCCTCCTAGGTAACTTTATCCACAATTATGGAAGTTGTGGTTAACACTATTAAAGAGTTTTTTTGATAAAATTTTAAATTTAGAGGAGATTTTTGTGATAATCCCTAAACTTAAGGGGGGTTATTTTGACTTGAAGTTATTTGGGGTTATTTTATAATCATCCAAAATTAAGGACCTTTCTCTATTAATTTAATAGGAGCTTAGCGTTGGCCGCTATGTCCGGTCCGTGTCTTCCCATTTATAGGAACCTAATAGCTCTTCAAAAACCCACATCCTTTTACTTTGCGTTAGTTGCAGTTCTTTCCTTTTTCCAATCATTTTCATTGTCAACCCACTCACAATTTCAACACGTGCAACAGTCAAATTATTTACAAAGATGCCATCGGCGGCAATGCTGCAAATTTCGTCGCCGGCCATCTCCTCAAACTGTTCTTCTTTCTTCGCTCCCAGCTGTCTCAACATCAACACAAGGTTCACTAATCTCTCTCTCTCTCATACATTTGCTTATGGTTTTGTAATTCACTTGGTTTCTTTATTGGGTGTTGTAGGTCACCGTCAAAGGTTTGCTTTGCGAAGAGAAATGATAAGAATTTCAAGTGCGTGGCAGTGCCTGATACTGAGAAACCTACTAGTAAATTCTCTCTCTGCATTTATTTTGTTTTGGTGTTGACTTTGCGCTATTTGATGAAATTCCTCAAAGAAACAGAACTTGGGTGTTAGTTGGTTTTTGATGTCACACATGAGTAAAAAGATTATAAATGGGAAGAATAGGTAGATAACCTGAAGGATTGGATGAAGTATATGAGTAGCACTATGTATAGCAGTTAGAATATATAAATATATCTTCAACCTACACCACAACTTCAGAGTTTCTGAGTTTTGGTGTAGTGATAGGAAACTAACCACGGAGTGAATTTTAAAAGCGAATTTAAAAAAAGGGTGCCGCTTTGTGAGTTCGGCCTTAGGTCCATAAAATGACACTCAACATGCCAGGTCATGTTAGAATATAAAATAATAATCATCAACCCTCACCACAACTTTTGAGTTTTGGTGTAGTGGTAGGGACTTTGATATGATATTAGAGCAACCCAGGTTCGAATCTTGCTGGCCATGACTTACATGTGGGTTTAAAACAAATTATATGGTTGCGTGAATCTAGATTTCTACCAAAAAAGGATCATCATTCATCAATCAGTGGGTGCGTGTTAGAATATAAAATTATAACCTCAACCCTCACCAGAACTTTTGAGTTTTAGTATGGTTGTAGGGACTTTAAGAATAACTTTGGGAAAAAGAAGGTAGTCAAGGAATTTTACAACTTGAAAAAAAAATCATGTAAAAGTCTTTTCCATTAGAGAAGTGGGCTATGGAGCGACAAATAAATTATTTGACAAAAAAAATCATGTAAAAGTCTTTTCCATTAGAGAAGTGGGCTATGGAGCGACAAATAAATTATTTGACAAAGTCTACATTTGGGTGTCAACTTGATGCCAACCAAACCGAATCAGTGCTAAATTCATATTTGAGATACTAGCTAGTAAAACATAAAGTCCCAATTGACTGTTTTAACATCCTTTAAACTCTGCTAAGGGGAAAGATTTAGAACAAGGAAAAAGATGATAAATTTGTTACAGATGACATCAATGTTATACACAACCAAAGCCACATGCCTGATGAGAACGCATCCCTGGAACATGAAAGCTGGACCCAAAAAACAAGCCTACAATCATTAGATGTGAGATATGATGATCTTTTCTTTGGACTTGAAATTTGGGGTACTTTGATGATGCGAGAATGTGCCAACGTGGTTTAAAGAGAGGTGGTGGTTTTGAGTAAAAGGGAAGGGTGAACATGTTTATTTTTGGGATTCAGATTTTGGGCTAGGCTTTTAGCCTTGTATGGCTTTGGATTTTTTGAGTTAGAATATTGGATCTTGAAAATAAGGGCATTCTGGTATTTTTTTTGAAGTGATGATCGATAAGTAATATCATAAGTATCTGCTTGCTTTTTGGTTTTGCTGGAAATAGTCTCTTTTGTATTTTGTGTAGATTTCAATTACACTTCACTGACTTATTGATGTTGATCTGAAGCTTACACGACAAAAGTTCCTCGCAACGCAAATATGGCAAAGCTTCAAGCTGGTTATCTATTCCCCGAAGTAAGTGTTCAGTTCCTATCTTCTCTTTTACTTTTCAGCGGTGATGTTTTGTGACGCCCCTGGGTTCACACAAGGCTGTAGTTCAAGGTGAAATCAAGAATGTCAAACCTGCCATGCACCATACTGTGCAATAACATGTTTCACCATCACAATTAACATCTGTCTAGTAGAATCAACAACAGGTGTAGGTACAAAAGCAAGTGAAAGATAACACAAGAAATACTGATGAAATGAAATCACATAAATATCTCACCATCCAACATACAACAATACATAGTCAATGTTTGAATGGATAACTGGAATACTCAATAAGTCTCAAATACAAATATCTGACAAGAATAAATAAGGCACTCCGCCTTTACAAATTTTAGAATAATACCCTCAAATGTCTAACCACACTACAGTGGAGCCCAAAGAAAATAATACATAGCTAGAAGGTAAAGCTAAACACTAAAGTGGTCCGTTATCAACCTGCGGCTCTCCGTGCTCCTGGCTCGTGACCTGAAAGGGGGAGGGACAACGAGCGTCAAAGCGCTAGCGAGTAACATCACAACCAATCCCAAGGAAAAAGGGCTCGTTGTTTATGAAAATACAGATAATATATAATAGATCTAAAAATCATTGATCTTACAAAGAGGGTTTTAGTATTTAGAAATTCACAACACGAGAATAGGTACGTCGAGCGAAATAATCCAAACAAGGAAACCCTCATGTATATACCTTATATCTCAAATTTGTAAACTCCTAAATACCAAACCCAAGGTTCTAGTACAATAACAATGATAGGAGAAATACAACAAACACTAGGGTATAATTACATTGCTGTAACATAGCCCACATGAACATCATGTTATTACTTACATGAATATCATGTCAAAATCTACATAAGTGAAATATCAAAATCTACATAGTTATCATGTCGTGAATTGCGGTATAATAGGCACATGCAGGGTTAAGAACTATGTCTGATATAGGAACTAACTATTATATTTTCCAAACTCATGGAATAAGTGACAATTGTCCAACACGAGGACTGAGAGGGATTATAGTCCAACACGAAAGTCAGATAGTCCAGGCAAACCCTCGAACATGAGTAAAACACCCAAAAATATCCAGAACAGGAAATCACGACAGACAGTGTGGCGGTCGACCGCACCGGTCGACCGCACTCTGATATGCGACTGGCGGTCGACCGGAAGAACGTCGCGGTCATCGCTACGATACATGTAGTGAAATCTACTTATCAATCTCACAACCAAATCAGTATATAAGTCCCAAATCGATACCCTCAGGTCATCTATCATGCATGGACACATAGTGGGACTAATAACCAAGGCCAGGTGATCCAGGCAAACCCCCGAACATGAGTAAAAATACTCAAATGCACAAAACAGGAAAAATACAGCAGAGAGTTCGGCGGTCGACCGATCCGGTCGACCGAACTCTGGCACGAGCCTGGCGGTCGACCGACCAGACGTCGCGCAACGAATCCAAAGTCTGAAAACTACCTTTTCATTGTTTTAAATCCATAAGAAACAAACCAAAAACGTTATTAATGACTGTAAAAGTGATATAACTCTCGTTTAGGAAATTTTGAGATCTAGATCTTAAATAAACGGAACATTTGTGAGATTTTATAAACTGAAACGTTCCGGTCGACCGCCAAGCGGACAGAAACCCATATCTGAGTTTCTGTCAGCTTGAAACCTAAAACAAAATTCTTTGTTAAACAAAATCTAACTAGTAGAGGTGTCATGAAACAAAAAATCGCGAAAATAAACCTTTAGAACTTTGCCACCAAGATTCCATAAATGTATAAACATGATTTACTCAGTACGTTTTTGGCTCATCAAAACTCATGAAAATCCAAAAGAAAATCATATAAAACAGGGGTGAGGGATTAGGCGAGATGATACTCGCTTTGGGTGTTGACGAAAGCCCTAGATCTGCAGGAGGTTGATTCTCTACGTTGATAATCCAAAAGCCCGCTGAAAAATCCTCCAGATCTCCTCCTAAGCACCAAATCCAGCTAGGGTTTGAGATTTGAGGGATGGGGGCTAGGGTTTTGAGCCTGAGGTGAAGAGAGGCTCTCCTGGGTTGAGTTGGTATAAATACTAACTCCCTAACCCGACCCGAAACCCAAAAGACCTGAAACAAAACCTCAAAGAAAACAAAACCTGGAAGCTCTCTGACCGCTGTGCGGTCGACCGCGTCGGTCGACCGCCACGGTCGACCGCGCAGCACAAAAATGCCTGCTGCTGGGCATTTCACACACTGGCCATAACATTCGATTTCTCTCACTTAAAATCACTTGTTGAGTTCTTAAACACAGATAATTTCATTCATATAACATATATATGTGTATATATTTATGATTATTCATCACAAGGAAAATATTTACTATTAACAATTCACATATATTTATTGTAGAAATTTTCGGGGTTTTACATAGGAATAAGGCCATTCCCTTGGTGAAATATCAGTGGAACCGGAAGGGAGAACCTTATAGAGATATTTACACTTAACGATCTAAAATGATAATATTCTCGCTCAAATCCTAATCTAGTGGAACTAGTACATCGGGCGAAAAATCCAAACAAGGAACCCCCCATACATATACCATGTGTTCCAAAAGATTAAAAATTAAGCGAAAGTATTCTCATTATAGCGTTAAATGCAAACCTAACCAAAGATATGCACATAAGTTAAGATATGTAATCATAAAGAGAATTTATTTACCTGCTCAACCAAGTGTGGGTAGTCACGACGCATGTCCTCTTCGCGCTCCCAAGAAATCTCCTCAATGCCTCCTCGGTTCCACTGAACTTTCACCAATGGAATTACCTTGTTTCTAAGCCTCTTGTCCTCTCTGGCAAGAATACGAACCAGAATCTCAATAGTAGTCAAATCATCCTGAAGCTCGATCTCCGGTGCATCCAATACTTGCTGCTGCTCTTCATCATGCAAGTGCTTCTTAAGCATAAAAATATGGAACACGTTGTGTATACTAGACATCGATGCTGGAAGATCTAGTCTGTATGACACAGCTCCAATGCGCTCTAGGATCTGAAAAGGCCCAATATATCTCGGTGCAAGCTTCCCTCGCCTTCCGAATTGCTGCACGCCTTTCATAGGCGATACCTTAAGCATAACCAAATCTCCAACCTGAAACTCTAGGGGTCTTCGCCTCTTATCTGCATAGCTCTTCTGCCGACTCTGAGCGGCTAAAATCCGCTCCCTGATCAAAGCTACCTTCTCAGTGGTCTGCCTCACTAGCTCGGGCCCAAGCATCAAGCTATCCTCCGGCTCGGCCCAACATATCGGTGATCTACAAGGTCTCCCATACAATGCTTCATACGGGGCCATACCGATCGTCGCTTGATAACTATTGTTATAAGCGAACTCTACCAGTGGAATATGATCCTCCCAACTACCTTGGAAGTCAATGACACATGCCCGCAACATGTCCTCCAACACCTGATTCACCCTCTCCGTCTGGCCATCCGTCTGGGGGTGAAATACACTGCTATAAGATAGTGTGCTGCCAAATGAGTCCTGAAAACTCCTCCAAAAATGTGAAGTGAAAACCGATCCTCGATCTGACACGATCGTGTCCGGTACTCCGTGAAGTCGAACTATCTCCCGAATGAAGATTCTCGCATAAGCCTCGGCTGTATAAGTGGTCCTCACTGGAATAAAATGTGCTGACTTCGACAACCGGTCCACTATCACCCAAACTGAATCATTCCGCTTCTTCGACTTCGGCAACCCTACAATAAAGTCCATGGAAATGTCTGCCCACTTCCACTCTGGAATGGGTAAAGGCTGCAGTGTCCCTGCCGGTCTCTGATGCTCTGCCTTCACCTGCTGACAGGTAAAACATCTAGCCACATAGTCTGCAATCTCTCTCCGCATACCACTCCACCAGAAACACCTCTTCAGGTCTTTGTACATCTTGGTAGTCCCTGGATGTACTGTGTACCGAGTACGGTGCGCCTTATCCAATAACTCCCTCTTCAACTCTGCACTGGCTGGCATAACCAATCTACCCTTCATCCGTAATCCTCCATCTGTTCTAATGGTCCAGTCCGCCTTATGCTCTTTGGAAATCTCCCCCTTACGGGTTTGAATCCAAGAATCCTCCAACTGAGCTCTGACAACCCTGTCACTCCAAGATGGCTGCACTGACATAGCTTCCAAGAATGCACTGGTTCCTCCAATCTCGGGTCTAATATCAAACTGGCTAAGAGTGATAAGATCTCTGTACAAAGAACACCTCAAAGCCGTAACCCGATGCCGACGCTTTCTACTCAAAGCATCTGCTACGACGTTCGCCTTCCCTGGATGATACTGAATCGCGAACTCGTAGTCATTGATAAACTCAATCCACCTCCTCTGCCTCTGATTGAGTTCCTTCTGAGAAAAGAGGTACTTCAGACTCTGATGGTCTGTGAATAGCTCAAACTGCACTCCATACAAGTAGTGCCTCCATGACTTCAGTGCAAACACCACTGCTGCTAACTCCAAGTCATGAGTGGGGTAGTTCTGCTCATGCACCCTCAACTGCCGTGAGATGTAGGCTACTACCCTCTGAGTCTGCATCAGAACGCCTCCTAAACCTGCCAACGACGCATCTGTATACACCACGAATGTCCTGTCACTGCTCGGAATGGTCAGAACTGGCGCTGTAGTCAGCTTAGTCTTCAAAATATCAAAGGCCTTCTGGCACTCCATGCTCCATATGAACTGTACACCCTTCTTCGTAAGGTGTGTAATAGGCGTCGAAATCTTCGAGAAGTCCTGAATGAACTTCCTATAGTATCCAGCTAAGCCCAAAAAGCTGCGAATCTCTGTCACCGTCTTCGGTGGCTCCCAATCAAGGACTGCCGTAACCTTAGCCGGGTCCACTGCTATACCCTCTCGACTGATGATATGGCTAAGAAATCTGACTTCTGAAAGCCAAAACTCGCACTTGCTGAACTTAGCATACAGCCGATGCTCCTGAAGAGTCATCAATGCTATCCGTAGATGCTCCTCATGATCCGCCTCCGACCTCGAGTAAATGAGAA